AAAATAGGAAAAATAATTTGGTCTAAAAAAAAAATCTCATATACTCCACTAAAGCCAAAAATTCTTTTTGCAATATTATTTTTGTCTTAAGTTAGAGACTTTTAAAATTATCATTCTCAATACTTTCACTCACAATTCTTTCATGATCTGCACATAAATGAATTAAGATGAAGAAAAAGCGACAGGGGAGAGAAGACTAACATAAACTAGATTGTAGGACCTTGGAAAGAGCTAAAATCTATTGCATACATACAATTGATAGCAAAGAAGAGAAAATCAGAAACATAGAAAATGAAGGGACATGAAAATCAACTACAATGTATATTGAGAAGTTAAAATAAAAACAAAAAAATACAACAAATCCAAAACAAAAAAAATGACGTGAGCTCAGCAAATTACTCATTTTTAATTGTATCAACAAAGATAACATGATTTTTGAGCATTATAATTAATTGCAGATAATTGGGCCTCTCAGCTTTTGAGTGCATTCTCAAACATGAGATCATCCCTGTGAATATACAGAAATCAATATCTAAAAAAAAAAATAAATAAAATGTGAAATGGGTAAAGTCAAGATTTTAATTTTGGTTTTTAATCTCAGTAACTTTTTTTTTTTTGTCTTTTTTCGTGACTGGCAACGGATCGCAACCCTCAGTGTTGCGCCCGTACCGGGGCGGGACCGGCTACGGGATCACAACCCTCGGTGTTGCCCCCGCTCCTCGCTCAGCCAGTGAGCGGCCGGTCTGTATGTGGGATCTGAACCCTCGGCGGGAGCGCTGCCGCGCTTCCCAAGCGGCGCACTGTAGCAGTGCGCCACCGGGCCGGCCCCTAATCTCAGTAACTTTAATGCTGTTTGGTACTGTGAACTGTTGTGGTAAGGAATCTACTTGATATTATGTGTCAGTGATGTCACTGCATTGACAGAACTACAGGATGACACACAGGTGGTGCAAGGCTGTGATGGTAAGCTTTGTTTCTCAAAGTTGTCAGGCACTTTAAGAAAATTAGAAACATTCAGGATAGTAAGTGCCAAGGATAGGTAGATCTTTTAGAATTTTTAAAATCACACTCAATTATATGATTATCTTGCATTAAAAAAAACTCAACAAAAAAATTCTTCTAGAATATAAGCACCTTCACCAACCAGGAGCCTGCATGCACAGGGGCTCCTTATTAATGAAGATGAGTGGTCAGCGCCAAAAGTATATACTGCTGGTTTCAGGAATACAGTCATTCCTGCAAATCTCCACTAGATAAGACCAGAGGCAATATGGATGACTTTGTGCAGAATGAAGTGCATTGGAATTATACTGTTTGAACAGAGGTAAGAACTACATTCTATGGACTTCGGAAGTCTACAGGGAGAAGACAGGAGCAATGCCACTTGTTCTCTCTATAGAATAAATGGACAGAGAGGAGAATGACAATACAGATGTTCAAAGAAACTTAAAAAATGAGAGTCTAGGGGAAGTTGTATTAAATGAAAATAAACGTGTACTACATAGATGAACCAAAACATTTGTATCTCATAACCTTTTTTTTTTTTTTTTTTTTTTTTTTTTTTTTTTTTTTGGTAGCTTGGGATAATCCTATAAATGGAGATAATCACCACAATTCTAAATACAATGCTCTATAGTAAGTACCTTTTACTTCACAAGTCATAAGTAGCAACCCCTATCAGAATTACTTAGCCATAAAAAATTTTTCTTCTAAATGCAATCTCAGTGAAAATATATAATGCCTGAGTCATATAAATATGCTGATATTTGTATGAGAAAAAAAGTCACATTAAAACAGTTATGGCTATTATACAATCATTACCATTATTTGAGATAATTTGCATTGGCTAGAAAAGCAGAAAATTTGAAATTGCATATTCAATTAGCAAATGCAGTCTCAAATAAACATTAAATAAACCATAATACAAATTGCAATTACTCCTAATCGGTTTATTATATAGGGTTTACATTTTTTGTTCCTGTATTTTATCTACCTTTGCTTCTATAACTTCTATTGTGAGGCAGCATGGTAGTGAACACCCAAGGGCTCTTTCTGCTTTTAGATAAACCTGAGTTTTAATTTTGGTTCTGTCACATACTATCTTCTATCTTTGGATAGTTTGCCAGTTTCTCTGTATGCCTGTTTTTGTTTTCACTCATCTGATTTACAAAGCAAATAACTTCTACCATGGCTTTGGTTTGAATATTAAACAGTATTATATAGAGTAATATTAGTTTGCTTCAATAATCATGATTTTTCATTTCATTAAAAGTCTGATATATTCTACATATGAGAGTTTTTTCTTAAGGTGTTTTGGATAAAATACAAGTTTAAACTAAGTGATCAGAATATTTCTACATGTTTATGACATCTAAATAAAATCTTATATCATACATCTTTTGGTCTTTTTTCCTGTAATCTTGTCATGCTGTACAGCAAGAAAAGGATAAGTATAAAATATCTAATTTTTAAAATGCACGTTCGATCATATCAAACCTAATTAGTTTGCGTATTCCTTAGAGTCTGTGTGAGGCCCACTGGCCCATGAGCTAGATGGTCGAGACTTGGTACCAAAGAAGTGAAATGTATGAGGCATGTGAATTAATACTGAGAAAATGTCATGTCTTCCAAGGAGAAATACACTAGAACCTGCTGACCCACAGCCTCTTAAAGGTGTGCTGATTGGGCCCAAAAAGGATCAGAAAAGAGGGTGGGGATAGGTCAGGACTAGACCACCCTAATTCTTTATTCAAACATTAGTGAAGGCATATTTAAGGTTAAATAGTGAAAAATATGGGGTGCTCTGTTAACACAAATGGGAAAATAATTTAGCTAGTGATCATGAATTATTTGAGTACCCTAATTTTTGACAATTTTCTTCTGTATAATTTCATAATGGGGAAATGGGATAGTAGGAATTTTAGTGGTATACTCTTGATATCTTGAACATCTAAAACCTGTTGTTCACTGGGGAAAGAAATATTTCAGCACTAAATGTTGCAAACACAGAAGACAACTGTATTTCCTCCTCCATTTATGTGGCTACATAATAATGAAACTTCTAGTTTGGTATTCTTTTCCCAGTCTTTGAAAGATTCTGATAAAGCAACATCTTCTAGCAAGTTGAAGGGTGGTGGGAGAGTGAACAAGAAGAATAATTTATATTACTCTGGAACAATTCTGAATCCTTTATGTGTTTATGTCACTGTTTCAAATGTGTTCTGGTTTAATTTTCAATATTTGTGTATGGGAATTAATATGTGTACATAGTTGTAATTTTATGCAGTGCTACCATCAGGTGTGACTGCATACATCATTATCACGTGCTTTGTGCAATTTTACTTCCATTTCTTTTCTAACAATTCAGAATAATCAGTGTTACAAATAAAGAGTTAATGAAGATACCCAAGAGCAGCAAAACAAATGTAAACTGGTTTTGACTTGACAAGAAACTCATCAGTAAGTAAATAAAACTTGTGGCATGGAGAAGGCCATTCAAAGGCACCCAACAGAGCATGTCTCCAGTAGCAGGTGATACAAAGGATATAGCCTCAGACCTAAAACCCCATGGTCATTACTTTGCTATTTATTTCCCCGTAGGGTCTGACATCTATATTAGTTTAAATGTGTGTTTTCAGATAATTCAAGTCATTTTTTGAAAACGTTTACAATTGTAGAGATCCTACACAATTTATGATGCTGCGTTTCTTATACTGAGCCAGAATTGAATACAAAAGCACTAATAACATAAAAATAGCTAATTCAAAAAACAAGATTGGGTGAAACTAAACTAAAAACAGCCATATACTGCCACGGTTTTCCTGATATATTTACCTATGACATTGGCACGTTATTTTACTTAATATTGGAAAAATACAAATACCTCTTCATACGCAAAAAAGCAAATGTTAAATGAAAAACTGAATTTTATACAGTTTCCTATATATAAGCCACATGCTTAAACAGTGCATAATTTTATGAATCAAATGCTTAATAATAACTATTACAAAAGTTTGGTATCGAGGTGCAATCTCATAGGAAGTATGAATAGCACCTGCCTCTATTGCAGTAAGAAAATAAATGGTAAATTCTCTTTGACATCTTAAGAGTGACAATCACTTCAATAATCAAGCACTAAATGCTTTTTATTAATCATAACATTAACTTAAACTTCAGACTTATAGATGTAAATATTTATAATTTTAGTCATAATGCACAATTTTTCTTGTTTAAAAGTACTTTTCTCATTCGAAGTGGTATTTATAGTTTTAAAAGCATAGAACTACATATGCCTCTGTGATCAAAAGTGATTCAGATTCCCAGATGTTTTTGCATAGTTACAAAAATTAAAAACTGCTAAATTAACCTGGGATTCAATACTTCAAGCTTCTTATATCTGCAATGCCAAGTCACACATAGCCTCTGTTTCTAGAAAACTTTTTGAACAGATTCCTGGTTTAGTTACGTTCACAGGCAGCAGGAAGTCTAATCAGCAGAAGGTGAAATCATCAAGTGCTGCCATCTCTATAAGAGGGTATTTCAAAAAGTTCTTGGAAAAACAGAATTGAAAGATAATACTAACCTTCCCATGAACTTTGTGAAGTACTCTCATATGAGGCATTTTCTTTCTTTCTTTTTCTTTTTTTTTTTTTTTGACCGGTAAGGGGATCGCAACCCTCAGCACGTTGTCATCCACACCACGCTCAGCCAGTGGACTTTGTGAAGTACTCTCATATGAGGCATTTTCTTTCTTTCTTTTTCTTTTTTTTTTTTTTTTTGACCGGTAAGGGGATCGCAACCCTCAGCACGGTGTCATCCACACCACGCTCAGCCAGTGAACGCACCGGCCATCCCTATATAGGATTTGAACCTGCGGCCTTGGCGCTACCAGTGCCGCACTCTCCCGAGTGAGCCACCGGGCCAGCCCCATATGAGGCATTTTCAATGGCTGAGTAAAAGGCCTGTTTGTCGTTTGATTTTGCTTTTGCATTTTGTGGAAGGGAGATAGCTGATAGACCTTAGAGGGCTCATTAAGATCACCTGCCACTGTCAGTCAGCTATACTCAGATTACTCATAACAGTAGCCTCTGATCACTACTATGTGTTGAAAAAAATTAGAATTTGGTCTATTTATAAACCTGGCAGCTAAGATTCTAGTTTATTCTGCTTTGGTATTTCAGTATGACAATGAATCTGGATTGAAGCCTGATTAAAAGAAATCCCCAGTTATTACTTTCTGAGTTATCAACTAAAATCCTTTTAAAATCAGTGAATATAGCTCATTGCTAGGAGTCATTCAGACTTTAAATTTGATTTACATATTAGGTAAGAATTTTGAAAATGTTTATCTAATATTTCTAATGGTTCTATTCTCTAGCACCAGGTACTAATGTCCTTCCTGCCCCCTTCCCTGCAAAGAAATAATGCACATGGATTAATCAAGCTTCACAGTGCTCAGAAATAATAGTTCAAAATGGAGTTCTTTCTCTTTTCATTATCAAACTTATTTTATATATACAAACAGTTTTATAGGAGTCAGTTGCATTTTCAAGTTAAGATCATTGTCATTTTTACCCATGTGCTTGTCTTTAAAATCCACATTGTAAAGTAGCATGCAGATATAATACATTTCTTTTGTCTCCATGAATATTTTTTTACTTTAAAAAAATAAATTAATGTAGTAAAATTCTTGAATTTGGTTTTTGTTTTCCAGATACTCTGTGTACATGCAGATAAGTATGTGAGAGTATGTATGTGTGTGTGTGTATATAAGTAGGTGTGTGAGGGGAGAATTAATTTTCCTTCAATTTCATACTTTAATACAAAATAAGAATTAAAATGTGAAGAGTGCCATTTTATGGGATTAAACATACTCCTTCTAACTACTTAAAATTCATTCAAGTTTGTTTTTCTCACCAAACCAAAGGGGTATGGGATTCAGATCTCCCTATGTAACCTAGACTCGAAGTCACTGAAAGACTTTAAGATTAGTATTTTAACCACCAATCCCAGAGTCATGTATGGCAATAAACCTATTGCATGAATTCTTTATATGCATAATCTCAAATTTACCCAAATAAGTTTTTTAAAACTAATTTAAAATTTGGTATTGAGGAAAATCTAATCTCCATCGTTAATTGTGACTCCCTATTTCAACAAAGAACTTCCAAATGTTTTGAAAAACAAAAACCAAAGCAAGAACAAATTCCTAAGAAAATACATAAACACCGAAATCAGAGATGGGCTTCTTCTTAAATATTAGTTTCTCTTTCTGTGGGAGTACTCTGTGCTTTCAAAACTTTGACGTCAATGTCTTCAGACTGTTTTGATCTGCTTAAGTGTTCAGATTCTCCAGACTCGAGAGTTTGTATTTTCTTCTCCCCTCTTTGTTCCTCCTTCTTTTCCTTTGCAAGTAACCTATAGTTTATAGCATTGCCAATGAACAGCCACACACTTGCTGTTACCACAACAGCCCCACAGGCTAGATACATGTATTTATACTCTCCAGTTACATCCACCAATTTACCTAAGAAACAAACAAACAAAAAAATCTTTTAAGGTGGCATAATAAAACATTCATAAAATAATAAAATTTTCAAGTAAATTCTTCCACAAAGCATGTAACTCTTAATTAAATCATAAAAAGACTTTAACAAAGAGAAATATTCTAGATTATAACTTCTATATATGCTTATTAAAGGCATGTATAGGCATTTATAGCATTATATTACCAGTACATTAAATTTACTGAAAATTATTTTCCCAATAAAAATGTACAATCAAGACAAATTATGTATATATCTGTTTGTGTGTGTATTCATAAATACATACACGTGTGAGGTATATTTTATATTTACACATGTAGATATAGTGATATTTATCTATTTACTTACTGCATATGTATGGAGATTGCTTCATATTTTCCATGATTCTTTTTCTCTTCCATAAAGAGGAAAAAATTACATTCTTTAGGAAAGACCCAAAGGCTCTTACATGGTTCCTGACAGGGCCTAATATTTACTAAAGGGTTTTTTTATTAACCTGACTTGATTTTTTCTTTCATCCCACCATGCATAGTGAAATAAAATCTCTGTTGATATTTAGAATTTTGTTGCTAATGAACAGACTCTAAAACTCATTTAGTCAAGCTAATTCAGTATGAATAGATAAGCCAATCGTGCTTGTCTTATATAACAAAATCAACTGGCTGATAAATAACAAAATCTACTGCTTTCACTGTTTTTGACAAATGTTTTGGTGCTATAGTATATCTATGTTGAAAGATATATCACTTAAAACATCTGTGCTTGATACCAGAGAACAGCCCTGGGGACATAAAAAACCACAACTATACTTCTGAGGTCTTACAGCCAACTTTGCTGTGTTCCTCACTAAGTGAAAAAGTGAAAGACAAAAGGTCAATGATGGCATTAAGATCAATAAATTAAACATGAGTTTTCACACTTTCAAAATGATTCTTTGATGTAATGTAGAAAGTAGTTTAAAACTGACTAGATACTTGGAAACATTTATATTTAGACTGGCAGTTACTCTGACCATTAGAAGGCAGGCCAAGAGTCTAGATGAATACTTAAGTACAGTATTAACCAAAACAATATAGAGTGGGTGCTGGAAAAGACTGGCCCACAAAAAGAATTTGATATTTATAATATTTAAAGTCTAAGACTAAACAAAGTCTTAACTTAAAAAATGCACTTATATATGTTTGTTCAAGTCATAGGTACAGATAGCAGAATTTACTTCTAAAAGTATTCACAACTGTAATTCAAAAGGAAACCATAAAATAATCAGAAGGAAGTCCAACAAAAATCTAATGCTTCTGTGATGACTATTTTACCTGTTTTTCTTTTCTTTTTTTCTAAAGATCAGACCAGCTTCTCAATTTGTGGGGTCCTTTTCTGGTGCTGTCCTAAACATGTATGTACTTTTCTTACTAGGTAATTTAGTGTAGACACTTTCAGAAGCATTTTTGGAAATATTTCAGATCTTAAAATCTAAATATAATCTTTATAATTTACAAATATGAAACATAAGCATCTGGTTAGAAAAACAAACTTGAATGAATTTTCCTTCATTCCTGCATTCTGCATATGTGGAATATATAATATCTGTGTGTGTGTGTGTGTGTGTGTGTGTGTTCATATATATATTACTATTGGTGATTTTATAATATTATCCCCTCCTTAGGCATTGAACAGGCTCCAAATTAATGTAACCATTGTACTCTAATTGAAAAAATATTCTATCTTTTTTGCAAGCATTATTTTACATTTTTGACTCATTTTAATACAAACAGAAGAAAAATATGTTCACCAATGATAAAATAAAGAAAAAGTGGCATTTTATTTTTATGATATGTTTTATAAGCACAATAGAACTCATATTGATAAAAATCCTAAAAATTAAGCTATCGGTTATCCACCTAACTTAAATTCATAACTTTATAGGTTAAGGCTCTGAAACAAATTTAGGTCTAAAATTGACTATGAAGTTTTAAAATACCTAACAAAACCTAAAAGTAACATCCTCACAGTCTTGCAGGCTATTAGTATTATTACAAACCACATGGATTTTTCAGGCTATTAGTATTAGTACTTAAAGAAAGTCTTAGTTAATGGGTGTTAATTTTACACATTTTACTTTCCTTGATAAGAAATATTCTTACCAGCAAGAGGAGGGCCCAGAAGAACGGGGCCACATTCTACAATTGTGACAAGTCCCACAGCACTGGAAAACCTTTGAGCACCGACAAGGTCCATGAGAGTTTCAAAGAGGACACTGCTAACACTCCCAAATCCAAGGCCAAAAAATACAGCATATAGCACCAGGCTTGTGTAGTTCTGTGCCAGTGGACACAAGAGATGACATACTCCATTGAACATGACTGCAAAACTGAAGAAGTACTGGATTCGGGGTCGGATATATTTGGAGTTTGCAATGAATCCTACAGAAGGCCTAGCAAACATATCAACAAAAGCCATAACTGACAGCAAGAAAGCTGCAGAATACTCATCGATTCCCTTATCTTTAGCATATGGAGCCAAGAATATAACGGGGGCAAAAAATCCTAGAAACATAATGACATTTCCAGATAGGTATATCAGAAATCCCCTGTGCTTAAAAAGGGAGAAATCTAAATACTTATTAACTTTTTCCCATATTGTTTTCTTCTCATGGGTTTTCTTCACATCTGAATCTTCCGCTCTTATGCCAGTCTTCTTTTTAGACTTAGAAGTAGTTTGTGTGGGTCCAAGGGGTCTCATTAGTGACGCAGCTACACAGCAATTCAAAAGTATACCTCCCAAAATCAAGAAACTTCCCTTCCAGCCATAAGTATTAAATAGGAACTGATTGAAAGGAGCCAATGAACTTAAGAAAACAGGGCTTCCTGCCATGGCCAATCCATTTGCAATGGGTCGTTTCTTATAGAAGTATTTGCCAATTATTGTTAAGGCCGGTTGCAGGTTGAAGGCTAAACCTAAACCTTAAAAGAACAAAATAAAAGGGAAAAAGAAACACAAACACATTACGTCTCTCACAAAATCAATTACTTTTCAAAATGCACATTCAAGTGGGTAAGTTGGAACTAAAAATGCAACAGCAGATAGTAATTTTTGATGATTATAAACATAAAAGTAATTGTGCAAAACCAAAAAGTTGTCAGAATTGGACACTGATATGACAGCTTCATATTCCTTTCATCTTAAAGCACAGAAATAAAACCAATAACTTCAACTGATGTATCAATAATCATAGAAAAGGTTGAAACTAGGATAAAATTGCTAGTTCTTAATTAAAATCACTTAATTCCACAGATAAATTAATCCCTTCCTCTTACTATGTATTATTATATATACATACGTACGCACATATAGAATTGATTGCTTCCTTGTGAAAAAAGTTCAGTTTAAAAATGTGAGTAGTTTCCTTTCAAGCTCGAAGGAATGTGAGCAGACTAAAAGGGTCATAATTTGTAACAGTCTCATGTTTTTCCCACAGATATTTATTTCAATACCTTGCAAATAATAAAAAGAGTAATAAAGGTATGCCATTAATTTCATGTTCTATATCCCTCACATTCCACATTTAATGTATATAGGTGCACATGTGTGCTCACTTAAAAAAATGTTTTTGCTCGAAGCATAGTTTTATTTCAGAGATTAAAGCAGATTGCTTAGATGAGCCAAAGTTCCCACTGTCTAGGAAACTCTTTGGCAGTGAGTATCACTTCTGAGAAATGAATTACCACTTGTAGTACAGCAAGGTACTATTTGACAATAGTAATGAATAAGGTTCTTCAAAAAGTATGTAAAATTGATTCATATAATCTACATCTTTTTTCCACTTAGCCTAGACATTCTTCTGTATTAATTTATGGGCTAGCAAGGTAAGAATTCTTCTATATTTGCTAATTTACCTAAATTGAGACAGAAGGAAAGGGGTGGACAAAGGAGTATAAAACTATGCTATCTACCCTACATCAATCATTGTGCAATACATGCATGTCCTGAAACAATACAATGTATCCCACAAAAGTCAATATAAATAAAATTAGAAAAACAAGCAATAAAGTGGTTAAGTATTCAGGTGCTGGAACACACAGGTCTGAGTACAAATACTTACTCCAACCTTTTGATACAAACATTTTCTATGAGTAGGACAGACCCTAAAAACTGACAGGAAGGAAACAAGAACATGTTTTGGAGAGTAACAGAACAGCATGCTCTCTAACTCTACTTTGGCCATACTGTGACATATGTAGAATAATTGTAATTAGATCCAATTTAAAAATAATAAGACTGACCAGTCTATGGTCAGGTAGATCATAAGTAGAAGAACCCAAACTAAACCCAGGTATTGTGTTCCAAAGTGCAAGTTTCTCTATCTTACATCATTTCCTCCCTATTCATGACCTGGAACTTTTGCTTTCAGATATTTAATACAGGTTTTCATCAGGAGATAGGTGCCATCTAGTTTCCATTCTGTCATGGCAAAATGAACATAAGATTTGAAATCAATAGATCTGAATCTGCCTCAACTAGTTACATATTTTGTACTACTGGGCAAAACACTTAGGCTTTCTGAGCTCTAATTCACTTGAAAACAAACAAACAAAAAAAAGAGTTTTGCCAAAATCAAGTAAGTGCTAGAACTGTAAGATGTTATATAAATGACATTGTGATTGTTATTATTTGCCAAAATTTATGTCCAAAATGCTGGGTACTCTGTAATATTTTTTTACATTAATCATTCCAATAACTTCCTAAGAAAAGATTTATTATTTCCCCCTTTTATAGACAAAGAAACTGAGGCATAAGGAGGCTAATTTACCCGTGATCACACAGATAGCATGTGCTGAGTCAGGTTTAAAAAGATAGATCTGTCTGCTTTCAGAAACCAAATTTGGAGTATTGGCTGATATGACTTAAGGTAAATCTCTCATAGGTATATTTAAGAGTTGACCATAGAAGCACAAAAGCCTTCAAGACACAAAGTAATGAAATTATAAGTTAGAATAACAATAATACTATTCATATTTATGGTGCGGGAATGTCAAAATAATCTTCTCCCTAATACATCTACTTGTAGGCCCATTCTGATCTCTGTGGTCAAAAGCAATAGTCTGTCTGTACAAAGGATTCTCTTCACTACGACAATGTTTAGATATAAGAGGGTTTTCATTTACAACAACAAAAGGTGTTTTGCCATATCAAAAATGGAGATGTGAATACATTGCAAAGAGAAAGATTTTAACATCACTATTACTGTAATCTTTAATACACCTTTTTTCATCCAAAATTATATATAAATATGGGGTAAGACTGATCTAAAAATCACTGTAAAAAAGAGTGTACCTTTTTATCTGTGGATGTGAGGGAAAGATTCATATATATACTTTATATATTAAAGTTAATTTTTCTTAAAACTTTGAATGTACATCTTTAATGCAATTTATTGCTCAGGCTAATAAAAATAGTGATCTCCAAATGTACATACTCAGGTCAGTTTGAGTCAACAGACATTATGCATGAAAAACAACTATAATCAGGTGACAGTATATCATTTAAAATATTTGTGTTAGTGGCAAATGTGCCTCACTGAGCTTTTAAACAGGATCATTTGAGTAAGGAAAAGAAGGGGACAGGGTTAAATAACTCTGCCATATCAGAACACAAACAACAAATATTTTATTTTTGAAGTTAAATCAGTGCATTCAGAAAATATCTCTTTGGCACCACGTGTAAAATATTATAAGTGGTAAGTCACACACTCTAAAAGGGAATAAGTAATGAAAAATAAGTTTTAAAAAATGAAGCTATTGATTTATACCAGAGAGTCTGTGTCCATAATACCATCTCAAATGGCTAAAGAGTAAAGAGTGAAAAAGTAAAAACAAACCAAAGCTCTTTACTTTTGGACATTTACATGACAATGCATAACTTGTCTGGTAACTATTCCTTTTTTCTTTTCTTAAAATGAAATATTTGGCCATCTTATAGCTAGTATTTCAATGCACTAGATGAAAATACTTCAAAATAGCAATGTTTATAAAAAGTAAATTCAAAGAAAACAATAAAAATTTTCTGTTGTTTATCCTTCTCACAGAGCTTTGCAAACAGCAGAAGTGTTAAGAAGAAAATAAGCTGAAAACAAAACTTGGCTTACCTCCAATGAATCCCACAGTGAGGTAAAGCTGTACTACGCTGGTACTAAAAGAGGCCACGATCATGCCCAAAGAGCATAGTACACCTCCTACCATCACCACTGGCCGACTGCCATATTTATTCACCAAAACACTGCTTATGGGACCTAAAGTGGAAAGAAGATTTAGAAACATTCAGTTGTTGGACATTTATTTATTTATTTTTAACATTTGTTAATTTTGAAAATTGAGAAAGCACATTTTAATGATCAAAGGAAAACTGTTAGTTCACATGGAATACAATGAGAACTTTTCAATACTCCACAAATAATCAGTTTGATGGGTTATTTTGAACCACATATACGAAAACACATGGAATAGTAAATTAGAAGTGTTTAACATATAGTTTGTTATGACCATAACCATACAGATTTTTTTTTTTCCTTTTTGTCTTTTTTCATGTCCGGCTACGGACCACAACCCTCAGTGTCGCGCCCGTACCGGACCGGGACCGGCAACGGGATCGCAACCCTCGGTGCTGCGCCCGCCCCTCGCTCAGCCAGTGAGCGGGAACCGGCCTGCATGTGGGATCCGAACCCTAGGCGGGAGCGCCGCCGCGCTCCCAAGCCAACGGGATCGCAACCCTCGGTGCTGCGCCCGCCCCTCACTCAGCCAGTGAGCGGGAACCGGCCTGCATGTGGGATCCGAACCCTAGGCGGGAGCGCCGCCGCGCTCCCAAGCGGCGTACTTTAGCAGTGCGCCACCAGGCCGGCCCACCATACAGATTTTGATGAAAAAATTTTTCAACAGAACATAGCTAAAATGTCTAGAATATCTTAATAGATTCAGGTAAATTTATGTAACAAAAATCTGGGGATTAGATAAATGACTTGTCCTTTTAGAATAATGTGTATGTATGTGTGTACACACATATATGCCATTAATCAGAGCTCAAATTGGTTTTTTATTATATTCAACTGTGATATTTCTTTAATACTATATTTCATTGATTCTAAAGATACCAATTGTTTTCACATCATATTATATAAGCAATAAGGAAATATTACACTTGATGGCTTCTTCCAAACGTTATCAGGCAGAGGTCACAGGTAGTAATGTAGCTATGATGGCCTATGTGTGCTTGAATTTAGTAATTATTTCTTGGGACAATTGCTTAACCCTTCACATCTCAAACCTTTTAAGGAGCATTTGAAAAAGGACTATAAAGATAAATCCTGATTTTTGTCTAAAAAATTCTTTGTTGACACAGTTTGGTGAGGTTTGAGGAAGTAGCAGCAACAAAACTTACAGAATGGGAGCAGCAGTTTAGATACAATTATGAGAGAATATGGCAGCTCTCTCCTTTAAGTTACATTGCATCACAAGCAAAGAGAACAATCTTATGTATGAGACACAGACATTGAGGACTCTGAGTCAAAAATAATTTAGAAGAGTCAGATACTGAATGGGAAGTTTTAGAAATGCCGTCACAATTTATTTAACGTATATTTTCTGATGTATATATAGGCATATATGCATGTATAAAATATTCAGGAGTGATTACAATGATTAAAATAATTTATGTTTAAGTCTATAAAAGCTCTTCTGATGATTATAAAATAAAAGTTCTAAAAATTAAGAAAGCATTGTGTCTTTAGTTGGAAGCATTTTTTTCTTTCTTGGTGCATCATAAAATAACAGTAAAACTTAATAATTGAAGCTATCTTAGATTCAATAAAGGTCCATATTATTTTATGGAATCTGTCAATATGTAAATGGCTTGCTTTGACATTTCCTTCTTAACTTAAAATTATATTTCATCTAAAACTAGGGACACTGCCTCAAGGTAAAAAATACTACATTAGGTCAGAATTCTCAGTCCAATACTGGCATAAAAAAATGATTTTTTAGCTAGTACTGTAACAAATATTTGCTAAGTACTGTTGTACTGCATTTCAGAATTTCTACATGGATCATATTTAAAACATACCAAGATTCATTTATCAGTACATTCATATTCTTTCACATATAATTATTATTTTATTCTCTAAATATAATCTTGAAACCAAACCTCAATGCCTAATAGTATTTAATATTACTCCATAATATCTTTTGAAAAGATATTGGTAATAATACAATTTTAGAAAGAGATAACTCAAAAACAATAAAAAATTTTGCATTATAATAGCAGACAAAATAAAACTTTAAAAAGGCCATATGAAAGACTGTTCTACAAAAACAATAGGGTTGGGAAGAAAAATCAAAGAAATTTGTACAAAGATGTGTGAAAACAATAGAATGGTTCTTAATATGGTAAAGTTCACCAGTGTTAAAAGGTGAGGAGAAGTAATTATACATACACTTGTATATATGATACATCTTAGATATAACATATACATATAATTTAGGAAATGAGCATCTTCATTAAAAAGCATACAGATAAATCCAAATAGCTTTTTGTAGGAAAGGGAGTCAGAATAAATTGATTGGCTTTGATTAATTATTGAATTTTGGTTAACAGACACAAAGAATGACAATGTATTATAATGATGAATAAGCTAACTATCCTGATCTGACTATCACACTTGGTACCCCACATATATGTATAATAAATTATTGTTAAAAAAAAAAACATTATTACCCTCCCTGCAAATAGAATTTAGGTGTGAATGTTTTATGCCCCTCCATCCCTATTCCTTTTCTTAAAATTACCCAACCAATTTAATTCAATTCAATGATCTGACTATCACACTTGGTACCCCACATATATGTATAATAAATTATTGTTAAAAAAAAACATTATTACCCTCCCTGCAAATAGAATTTAGGTGTGAATGTTTTATGCCCCTCCAACCCTATTCCTTTTCTTAAAATTACCCAACCAATTTAATTCAATTCAATTTAACTAAAATTGGTTCAATGCGATATTTCTTAAGCTCCTGTATAAAGTCAGTTGATTCACAACAAACACAAATATAATCCTAGACATATTATAGTCAAAGGGGAAAATAATCAATGTAATTTTTAAGAGCTGTGAGGGATGCTATGATAACTGCTAGACTATCATAATGGATTCAAAGGCATTTATCAATTATTTGGAATAATATATCTAATCTACTCTCAGTATTATTTATACTATGTGTGCCATTTTCTATGTTGTGCTTGAATAACTAACAAATAGACAAATGGGCTAATTAGTATGTTTTATGAATGTGTTTGCCTAAATTTTGTAAATTTAAATTTGAGTCACAAATTAATTTGCAATGTATGGAAAATAACTATATCTATAGGTTAGGATAAACAACTCAAAGCTTTTTCTCTCATTACTGTGATTAATTAAGGATAGTTATTATAGAAAACATTTAGAGGAGGCGTTTTGTTTTGGAGAAGGCATTGACAACGTCTATAGTGGCATCAGTCAAGATGTGGTGAGAGTTCTAATTTTAACAAATAATCTTATGTTAAATTATATATGTTAGTTAAATGATATCCTGTAAAGATATGTTTACATAGTTCATCTATAATCCTTTTCTAGAAAAAAATACTTTATAGGTGATTTATTTAGAAATAATCAAAGCTCTTTCCCCCTAAACCTTAAATGCTTACAAAACATTCTATTTTGTAATGGTTGCAGATAAAATTTTAATTTATAATATAGAATATAAGAATTATTTTGCAAAGAATCCCCAAATGCTTAATATTAGCTTGTGGAGCCATCTAACATTAAAGGTAAACACAGCACCATCCAACACTGCTCTCCATCCTACAAGCAGTTTGACTTATTGTATTAATGAAAAAGAGGAAGATGCAAGAAAAGAATACATTCCCATAATATCTGACAGTTGTTAAACATGAGGTAGCCTCACAAGTGTCCCTATTTGATGAGCCTTAGGCCTAATTATATCCTAAGCTTGGTCATTCAATTATTTATTTAATTCAATCATTCCTGAAGTTTTTAATTGGTATGTGTTTTTTAAGTAATTGTAATGTTTAAGCATTAGTTATATCCTCTTGCTGAAGAGATGTCTTTATCATTAAACAATGATCTTGTCCCTTTTTATAGTTTTTGGTTTAAAGTTTACTCTATCTGATATAAGAATAGTTATTCCTTCTTGATTTTGGTTTCCATTTGCATGGTATATATTTTCCCATCTCTTCTCTATTAGTCTGTGTGAGTTTTTATAGGTGAAACTGGTTTCCTGTTGGTAGCATATAGTTGGGTCTGTTTTTTTTAATCCATCTGGCCACTTGATGTACTTTGAGTGGGTAGTTCAATCCATTACCATTTAGCATTGTTATTGAAAGCTATTATCTAACTCCTGTCATTTAATTACTGCGGGAGCGCTGCCGCGCTCCCAAGCGGCGCACTGTAGCAGTGCGCCACTGGGCCGGCCCTGTGTGAGTCTTTTACAGGTGAAGTGAGTTTCTTGTAGACAGCATGTAGTTGAGTCTAGCTTTTTAATTGATTTAGCCAGTCTATGTTTTTAGAATGGGGAATTCAATCCATTTACATTTAAGATTGTCATTGAAATGTATTGCCTTACTCCTAGCATTTTATTGATTGTTGGATGGTCGTTTATATATGTTGTGTTCCTTTCTTTCTCTTTTATTCTTTGTATTTGGTGTTTCCTGGGTTTTTGTAGTAGTGAAATACACTTTCTTTCTTGTTTGTATATCTGCTCTACCAGAAGGTTTTATCCTTTCTATTGTATTCATGATGTTGATTACTATTTCTTGGATTCCAGGTATAGGACTCCCTTGAAGATTTCTTGTAGAGCTGGTCATGTGGTGAAAACCTTCCACAGCTTTTAGTTGTCTGGGAAATACACTATTTCTCCTTCATTTCTGGGACACACAGATATATAAAGCAAATATTACTAGACCTAAAGAGAGAGTAAGGCAATAATAGTTGGGGTCCTCAACACCCAACTCTCAACATTGAGAACATCTAGGCAACAAATCAGCAGAGAACACAGGATTTAAACCACACTTTAGACCAATTGGACTTGATAGACATCTACAGGACATTTCATTCAACAACTACAGAAATAAAAATTCTTTTCACCAGCACATGGATCATTATCCAGGATAGACCACATGTTAAGTCTCAAATCAAGTACCAAAAAATTTTAAGAAATTGAAATCTTTTCAAGTATCTTTTCAGACC